CTGAGACAGGCTGAGGGTTTTCCATCTGCAAGCCATAGACTCACTCATTCAACAAATATTTATAAGCCCCTGCTATGTGCTAAGCACTCTTATAGGTGCTGGACACACAGCAATAAGCAAGGCAGCTCTGCCCACGCTGCTGTTCCATTCTGGTGCGTACGTGGGCAATGCGAGGGGGATCAATAAACATCTACTGTTATAAAAGGGTAGAGGCATCTCGGTTGCTATGGCAACAGTTGCTGGGCGATGACGTCAACCAAGCCCCAAACAGTGGTGACAGCCTGATCCGAAGGCACTTAGGAGTCGCTGGGAGGTTATTCCCTTGGGAAAACTGTTGATTGGAGAAAATAACTGAAGATGTATAGCATGTCTGAGTCACAAGGAAAGAGGAAGCAGGGAAGGCAGAAGGGTGAATAAGGCCACTGCCCCAAGCACATGAAACAGCCCCTGAAGGGTGGGTGACAAGGGAAGAGCCAGGGCAAAGCCTACTCTGAATCCTTGCCCAGGTCAGAACCAGGAAGAAGGGTGGAGACTTTAGAGCAGGGTTTCCCAAAGGGCATTCCATGGAGCAGTAGTGCAGAGAGATGCTCTGTGGAGAAAAAGGGGGTTCTGTAGCCACATTGAGCAGTGCTACCTATTCTATTACTGTGTGGGATGTCCTCAAAGTATACTGGCATAATAGAGGTTCTGAGAAGTCCTGCAGCAAAGAATGCCATCTAGCCTATCCAGCATTTCCTAAACCTTTTCCAACACCTAACATTCCCATGGCAGTCTACAGAACATTCTAGGAGACACACTGCTTTAGAGCAATAGAAGATCAGGATGATATGAAAAAGAGCCACCTCTCAAGCCTGGAGATGAGACCTGGATTACAGATACCAGTGACAGGTGAGAAGCGGGACCGATAGGGCTGTGGTTATGTGTCCCACGGCTTCAAACTATTTGTGGATTGCCTGCTATTATGGCTAATTAACATTGATGTTCAACTGATTTTACAGAGTTGTGTAAAATCAAGCTTCACAGAAAGAGCTTGGACAGAAAAGCTGACTCAGTATCTCTGAGTTATGTATATCTTCACAGGGGAGGAAATGCAAACTGAGGCCCTGCCCAGATACTCCAACCACCTGGTGTAGCTTGCCTGCTTCCAAGTTATCAGCCTGGCAAACTCACGGTAGCAAGTGAGGACAAATGTCAAAGTCCTCCTGGGAAATGTGCAGCAGTGAATTTTGCTAATAAGGTGGGAAGTAATTTTTTAAGTGACATTTACATTAAAATTGTGATTTTAAAAACATCATATCTGCTCTTTCATTTTATTGTGTTAATCCAACTGATACATATTTGGCTCCTGCAGAAACTGAGGTTCACATTACTTAAGAGACTTGCCCAAGGTCGCACAGTGATAAAGCCTGGATTAGAACTCCTGTCTTAGGACTCTTCATCCAGTGATTTTCCCACTGTCCAAGAAGAGACGACCCTGTAGATCCTTTCAATGTGATCCAAGGCTCATGCTCATTCATTCAACAAATATTTATTGAGCACCTACAATGAATGAGCCAGGCTCTGATCTAGGCATAGGAATATAGAGGGAACAAAACAAAATCTCTGCTCTCATGAAGCTTGCATTGTAGTGGGCAAGACAGATGACTGTTATAAATTGAATAAAACAGATGCAGTAAATGTTTGAAGAGAAATAAATCAGGAAAGGAACTGGAGATTGATGGGGAGACTTTTTGATGAAGAGCTTTTTGAGTAAAGACCTAAATGAAGCGGGAAGTGGCCCATGCAGAAATCTGGAGAAGAGAGATCCACGAGAAGAAGTGGCCGGTGCAAAGGCCCTGGGGCAGCAGTGCGGGGGCCTGTGTGGAGAACAGCCTCAAGGCCAGTGTGGACACAAGGGAGAGTGAAACCTGAAGGTGAGAAAGCCAGCAGGGCCAGATCACAAAGGGCCTTAAGGTGAGGGTGGTGATAAGATGTATTACATCTTTGACCTGTTACTCAGAGTGCCCTTTCACAGCACCATGAGTCATGACAGCTCTTGCATCCAGGAGCTGTTCTGAGGTCTGTGATGGGGAGAAGTGAAGGCTGGCTGTGGGTTTAGACACAAGGTGTTTCGAGAGTAAACTGCTGTTTAGAGGTGGGTGACTAGGAGGACACCTGCCCCAACTCTTCAGGTCTCAGAATTTTTCCAAGTGGAACCTGGCCTTGAGAAAAAGACGTGGCGGGTGCGGGTGGTGGGGTGGAAAATCATTCCTCCCTCAGCAGGCGGCTAAGAAGCTTGAGGTACGAGCGAAAAGGGGCAGACAGAGCCCTCTTGGCCCCTAAGGGACTCAGGAATGAGACCTCCAGGAAGGATACCAAATGCTGCCACCCCTTCCAGCCAGCCCCGCTGTAGCGTCAATTCCTTGCTCCTGATGTGCTCCAAATCTGGGCTGTTGTTTATTCTCTTGCAAACCTTAGTGGCACCTTTTCCCAGCATGCTCTGTGACAAGGGTTGGAAGAGCAGTGTTGCCTAACAAATAACGACCATCATAATTTATTCACCGCCTGCTACTGGCAGGCATGACTCTGTCCCATCAATAGCATCTCCTCCATGCCTCACAACTCTACAGTGCTGGGATTATGACTGCCATTTTGCAGTTGAGGAAACTGAGGTCCAGAGACAGTAACTAACCTGGTCAAGGCCACACAGCAAGTAGGTGGCAGATTCAAGACTCAAACCCAGATTATTAAAATAACACTGTCAAGTCTCTGTGTCTGTCTTCATGGTCTTTTGCTCTGTTTGTTTGTTTGTTTTTTGAGACAGAATCTCATTTTGTTGCCCAAGCAGGAGTGCAGTGATGCAGTCTTGGCTCACTGCAGCCTCCACCTCCCAGGTTCAAGCCATTCTCCTGCCTCAGCCTCCCAAGTAGCTGGGATTACAGGCACCTGCCACCACGCCTGGGTGATTTTTGTATTATTAGTAGAGATGGGCTTTCACCATGCTGGCGGGGCTGGTCTTGAACGCCTGACCTCAGGTGACGCATCCACCTCAGCCTCCCAAAGTGCCGGGATTACAGGCGTGAGTCACCGCGCCTGACCTGCTTTTCTTTCTTATACCCCTTATTCATCCCTTAGGTTTGTGTAGCATTTAACAGTTTGCAAAGTGTTTGCAGAGTCTCAGTATCATTCCACCTTGTGTCCAGTTTCTCTGCTTGCAATATCAGCACCCTTGTCTGTCTCCTCCCTCTTCCCCTTTTATGTCAAAGCTCCTTCTGGATAGAGAATGTGTCCTACTCGCTTTCAGCCCACCTCTTTTCCTTCTAGCACTTTGCACAGAGCAGGCCCTTAACAAATGTCTGAGGAATTAATGCACTGGCACTCTAGGGTCAGACTGCCTGAATTTAAATCCTGATATTGCCACTTACAAGCTGTGTTACCTTGGGTAAGTTACTTAACCTCCCTGTGCCTGGATTTCTTCATCTGTCATTCTTATCAGAATTAAAGAATTAGTTCCCAGCACATGGTCAACACTGTGTAAATATTTGTTAAATAAGTTCTACATTTCTCTTCCTTTTTCTCTTTACTTCTTTCCTTTTAACTTAATGATAATAGCTAACACTTATATAGCACTATCATATGCCTGGTCATGTTGCAAGCACTGTTCTGACCTTAACTCCAGGCCTGAATCTGCCTCCTGCACTTGAACAAGCTCCAGGCTGGGTGTCACTTTAGCGGTCACAAGTCATCGGGTGGGCAGGAGTCTAATGAGTGACATGGAGGGCCCATCTCCCACAGGACCGAGGGATTAGCAGACCTGGATGGAAGTTGGCCTGGCTACAGGTTCTGAGTATCTGAGAAGGTTACAGATCCTCAGCTGGAAAGAAAGGGCCCTAAAAGTGGCCAGACGGGGAGCAGGCCCTACAGGGCACCACTTCAATATGCCTGCTTGCCAGCTGACCCACACATAATATGCTGTAAAATCAAGACTTAACAACTGTAAACCTCCATGAGCATTCAAGAGCTTCGCAATAAACCTTCTACAATGGGGATAAACATGGATGTGCCCGTGCTGTTTGCCTGGGCGGGCAACTTACACACAAATTGGCTATCTTAAGAGGTAGAAACAGGCTAACCCGTCTTTTTTATGTCCCTGTACATATTTGTTTTGAAGGTAGAGATCATTTCCTGCTTCAGTGCACATTTGAAATGGACATCCCCTGGGGGTGGGCGGAGTGGCCGCTGGAAGGTAATAGCAGGGACTTCTGGTAATACTCAGTTTCTCGATCTGGGAGCTCTTTCATGAATGCGCTCAGTTTGTGAGCCTACACCTATGGTCACTGTGCTTTTTATATATGTACATGATACTACAATAAAACGTTTTTAAAAGTATACATTCTTCATCACTGCAGTGTTTGTGATGGGGAAACAATGGACACACCCCAAAAGACCATAAAATAAATGAAGTCACATCTGTAGCCACTAAAAATAATGATCTAGAGATATAGGAATGATTCAGAAAGATATGAAGTTAGGTGAAAAAAGGAGTTACAGGGCAGAGAGTATACTCTCATATCTGAAAAGAACATTGAACAGTGTCAGATAACCATTTGACCATTTTAACCTGCAAGTTCATGTAGTTCATCAAATACACAAACAGTATACATGATATATACATAAGTTTATAAGAAAAATGTCCTGAAAAAGTACATCTTGAGTTGTTAAGAAGGTAGATTAAGCTTTCAGTTTCTGTGTTATCCATTTAAGTGTCTGTCTTCATTTTAATTAATTTTTCTGTGATGACCTTGCATTGCTTTAGTGATGAGCAAAACAATAATCACAAAGATATAACTTAAAAAAAAAAAAAAAAAACTCTCCTTCCTCAGTGTTGTAGACCTGGGCAGTGAATCAAGATTGGGCTGGTGTGAAGTCTTAGGTGTTCTCCGGCTGCAAATTCTAAGATTCTAGCAGAAACAACCCCAAGCCTGAGTGAAGTTCAGTTGCAGCACTTGAAGCAAACATACCTGTAAAATTTTGGAGTAACTGATCACAATGACCAGTCCTGGCACCAAGAAGTTCAAAGTAACAAAAGACACATCCCACGAGATCTCTCCAGGAATGGTGGGCCACATCAGTGTGCAAATCGGAATTTCCTAGTTACAAAAAGAAAAAGAACATCATGTACATGTTGGCTTCTTATTGGCCTCTGGCTCAGTCTTATTGAGGGTTTCCTGACACTTACACAGTTGTATTTCCCAGTTACACAACTAGCATGACAGTGAATCCCAAAATCCCTCCCACTGCCCACCACAATCCCACTTACAAAGCGCTTGCCCCTGGCCCTCAGAATAACTGTGATTATGATTCCCATTCTCCAAGGACAACAACTGAGCCTCAGTAAGTAAGCAGCAGATTCTAGGCTTAAATTCAGATTAGTAAAATAATCCTGTCAAGTCTCTGTGTCTGTCTTACGGCCTTCTGCTTTTTTTTTCTTTTTTTTTTTGAGACAGAGTCTCAATTTGTTGCCCAGGCTGGAGTGCAGTGTCTGGCAGGAATTCCTAGGTTTTCTCCGACTGCAAACTCTGAGATTTGTGGTAAGAGCTAGAGCCAGTTCCCAGCTGTGGTCTTTCCACTTCCCTCAGCTGGCATGCAAAGGGCTTTTGAGCCTTCTCTGCCAAGTCCGCCATTTTACAAAGGAGAAAACTGACCCCTGAAAGGTTACATAGATCGGAAAGGACATGCTACATAACAAACTTACCAAAACTGGAACGAAGCTTCCGTGGTCACACTGTCTAAGTTGAAGGCCACAGGGTTTGTGCTAAGGCAGTAAGCGTTCATGTTGGGGGTGCTCAGGTGTCTAAAGTGTGTCAAGCTGCATCAACCTGGCCATCTAGAGCCCCAAGGCAAAGATCAGCCTTCACTCTCAGGCAGTTCAAGATGTAAAACCAATGGAACATGGCAGAAGCATGTGAAGGTTTGTGATCTTGCTGCTCTCACTACTTTGTATTGATTCAAATGTTTAACACTAACTGCAAGAAGATATGGGGACCTTACTGAGTAGTTACTAATGGTTTCTGCAACAAGTTCTTCCAGTGAGTGAATAGGTCAATGAAAACAGACCCTGTGTGTATGTATATACTAACTTCCCACATATAAATTTCCTATGCCCACTTGACTACAGAAACAAAACTGTTTAGAAAACAACTGGCCCTAACTCATACATATAGAACAGATTTTTAAGAGCACATGCTGGGTAAAAAAACTGCATTATTGATTTTGAAGGGCCAAAGGACCATTCATTCATTCACTTGACCAACATTCAATGAAAGCTCTACTAGGCAAAAGCAGAGAATTTTTAACAGTGAATCAACACTGGGCTGGTGTGAACATATGGTGGGGGGAGGTTTATTAAATCTTTCCACATTTTGGTGATTGGAAAGAAACCTGTTTCTTTTTCTTTTTCTTTTTTTCAGATGGAGTCTTGCTCTGTCACTAGGCTGGAGTGCAGTGGTGCGATCTCAGCTCACTGCAGCCTCCGCCTCCCAGGTTCTAGCGATTCTCCTGCCTCAGCAACCTGAGTAGCTAAGACTACAGACATGCACCACCATTCTCAGCTAATTTTTGTATTTTTAGTAGAGATGGGGTTTCACTATGTTGGTCAAGATGATCTCAATCTCCTGACCTCATGATCCACCCACCTCAGCCTCCCAAAGTGATGGGATTACAAGCATGAGCTACCATGGTGGCCAGAAACCTATTTCTTTCAAAGATCTTCTGATTACTGGCAGTGAGCCTACCACTGCTCTCTAGATAACCCACACTGCCGTCTTTTGTACTCAGACCTCTGCCCACAATGGACCCCTCATTCCAAGAGAGCAGCGGCAATACATATGAGCAGATATGCTGAAGCACCAATCAGAAGAAACAGATTCCAGCCCTGAATGGGACTTGGTCTCTAATTCCTATTCTTGTGGCGGAAAAATTTTAAGGGAAAACAGAAAAACAGAAGATGCCCAGACCATTTTTTAAGACTCCCAACTCTTTCCAAAAGCCTTTTCCAGAGTGTCTACCAAAATCTCTCCAGGTTTAGCAAGACTTTTGTAGAAGCCTGAGAGTGAAGGCTGATCTTTGCCTTGGGGCTCTAGATGGCCAGGTTGATGCAGCTTGACACACTTTAGACACCTGAGCACCCCCAACATGAACGCTTACTGCCTTAGCACAAACCCTGTGGCCTTCAACTTAGACAGTGTGACCACGGAAGCTTCGTTCCAGTTTTGGTAAGTTTGTTATGTAGCATGTCATTTCCGATCTATGTAACCTTTCAGGGGTCAGTTTTCTCCTTTGTAAAATGATAGAGCATGGTGTTCTCTCTACAATAGGAGTGAAAGAAAAAAAGCAGGTCCCTAAACCATGTGTTTCTATGATCCTAGTGTGTTGAAGAGAATGTGTATGTGTGAATGAGTGTATGGCCATCCAACACACACACGCACACACACATACACACATACAATCTCTTACACACACAAGCTCACATGCACACACACACACAAAAATATATATATAGAAGGATACAACCCTGAAAGTGAAGTGTCTATTTCTAGGTAGGACTCTCAAGTTTTTTTATTCTTCTGGCTTATCTGAATTTCCTGATTTTCCTTGATGCACCTATATTACTTTTATAAGAGAAAAAAGTTCATTTATAAATGAAATGATGATCAAACATGAAACACAGACCACCAAGACAGTTCTGCCAACTTTACCAGCTATTTTTCAACAGAGACAATGAAACTGTCCCAGGAAGCTCCCAAATTCCATGACTTTCATAAAGATGCTTTTTCACCTTTTGATTTGTGGCTCTTGCTCAGGGCAGGAAGTGTAATAAGGAAGTAAGATAAGACCTATGCCCAGCACCCCCACACATGAACTGAGAGGCAGTGCTGCTGGCCTGGGGGCCTAAATGATGGATTGAGATGCTCTTTAGAAGGTTTTATAAGGTACTGATGATTAAACGCACTGTCTGGTCTCATTTAAAAATAAAATACAGGCGCCATTACAGAGATCCAAGTTGGTGTCACAAATTGGTTTCTGTGGGAAAATCCATTTGGCTTAAGTCCATTTGATTCTAGATATTCTCCCGCAGGCTGTGACTTGCAGAGGAGTTGGGCAGCGTGTCAAGTCTGGAAGGTGGGGACATGAATCCTATCATATTCTCTGTACTTTTTCTGCACATGTGAAGTGTCTCCTGATTTTAAAAAGGGAACTTGAAAAACAAAAGTGGCAGGTCTGCCTTGTTACTGACTTACAGAGGCGGAACTGGCAGAGTCAACAGTAGTCTTCTTTAACTCATTTGCTCAACTCCCCGACTCCAGACGTGGTGGCTGACCACAGCGAAGCCACAGTGAGGATGAGCGAGGCGCTGGCCCTGTCCTCCAGGAGCGAGGGAGGGAGAGAAGCACTAGGACACCTCAGGACAGGACAGACAGCTGGAAGTGTCCAGAGAGCTTCAGAGGACCAGGGAGGGAAGATCCACCCAGGAGGGGCTGTTTCTGCTATGCCTAGAAGGACCGCATCCGAGGGCACAGGGAGGCCGGAGCTCAGGTGTCAGGCCAGAAGGGATGAAGGTGGGAGGCCACTCACAGTGAAGGGTAAGTGTGACTTGGATCCCCCAAATGTGTTCTGCCTCATCCCGATCTCCACTTCTCCCTGGCCATCTCACCCATTTCCACCGCTCCTTTTGCAGGTAAAGCTCCAATTGACCCTTTGCAGCTCCATGCTTTCCTGAACCCCAGACTCACCCAACAGCCATGAGGACATCTCAGCAGGAGACGTCACAGGCACATTAAGCTTTGAAGAACTCACCCCAAAAGGTTCCACCTGATTCCTGCCCTGCCCACATCAGGGCACAGGGCCACCATTCTACAAGTTGACAGAAGCCCAAGCACTGGCCTTCTGCCTACCTCCTCCTCCCCACTCAGAAGGAATCTCTAAGCTCCTCCTTAATAGCCACTGACTCACCCATCTATCACATTTTTTTTTTTTGAGACCGAGTCTTGCTCTAATTGCCCAGGCTAGAGTGCAATGGCACAATCTCGGCTTATGCAACCTCCGCCTCCCCGGTTCAAGCGATTCTCCTGCCTCAGCCTCCCGAGTAGCTGGGATTACAAGCATGCACCACCACACCCAGCTAGGTTTTTGTATTTTTAGTAGAGATGGAGTTTCTCCATGTTGGTCAGGCTGGTCTCAAACTCCCGACCTCAGGTGATCCGCCTGCCTAGGCCTCCCAAAGTGCTGGGATTACATGTGTGAGCCACGGTGCCTGGCCCTAACGCATTTTCACTGGCCTGCCCCCTAACCCTCACCAAGACCAGGCCATCACCACTAAGTCCAAACTTCCTACCAGATGACTCTGGCCCTTCTCCCACTCTCCCCTGCCAACCCTTCCAGCACCATCTTTTGCCCCCACTGCCCCTCATGCTCTACACAGCGTGGTGGAGAACCCTTTGCAAGGTTCAGAACAGCAGTCACTGCTCCTTTAGCCTCCACGTGGGCCCTTTCCTCTGCCTATGATGCCCTCCATCCCCTTGCCTGGCTTGCTTCCTCTCATCTTCACACTCAGTGGGGACACCACCAGCTTCCAGTAGCTTCCCGGACTCCCCACACCCAGTAGAGACTCTTCCACAGCTCACCACAGCTTGTGCAATTGTCCCCTTCCCTGTCTGGATTCCCCACTGAAGTGTGTTACTAAGGGCGGGGACCAAGCCTGCCTTTTTCCAGCCAGCATCCCAGCTCCTAGAATTCTGTCTGATATACCTTAGGTGTTCAGGAAAAAATTGCCAAACCAGATTTTCTAAGAAGACTCCCCTTGAGGATGGGGACATCTGTCTACAGGGACGGCTGAAATGCTGACCCTCCCCACACTGGCTGACTTATTTGCAAACACTGCCTTATTCCAGCTGTTTTCCTATCAGTCTCTCTGATGATTCTTCCTGCAGTACCTCTGGAGACCCTTGGTAAATCCTTGCTCCTACCTCACCTCTGCCATCAACATGGAAGACTTCAAGATCATTTTTAACAACTAGAAGTCTGGCTGGACACGGTGGCTCATGTCTGTAATCCCAGCACTTTGGGAGGCCGAGGTGGCAGATCATGAGGTGAGAAGTTCAAGACCAATCTGGCCAACATGGTGAAACCCCCATCTCTACTAAAAATACAAAACTAGCCAGGTGTGGTGGCACATGCCTGTAAACCTAGCTAGTCAGGAAGCTGAGGCAGGAGAATTGCTTGAACCCTGGAGGTGGAGGTTGCAGTGAGCTGAGACAGTGCCACTGCACTCCAGCCTGGGTGACAGAGTAAGGCTCCTTCTCAAAACAACAAAACAAAGCTAGGAGTCCTAGTTGGATATTTCCTCTCTATCAGCTTCCCAGCAAAAAAGAAAAAACAAATCAGCACAAGAGATGCTTCCTTTCAGCCGGGCGCGGTGGCTCACGCCTGTAATCCCAGCACTTTGGGAGGCCGAGGCGGGTGGATCACGAGGTCAAGAGATCGAGACCATCCTGGTCAACATGGTGAAACCCCGTCTCTACTAAAAATACAAAAAATTAGCTGAGCATGGTGGCGCGTGCCTGTAATCCCAGCTACTCAGGAGGCTGAGGCAGGAGAATTGCCTGAACCCAGGAGGCGGAGCTTGCGGTGAGCCGAGATCGCGCCATTGCACTCCAGCCTGGGTAACAAGAGTGAAACTCTGTCTCAAAAAAAAAAAAAGAGATGCTTCCTTTCTTATAATTTCAAAAGTATTCTCTAATTGAAACAAAGGCAAGCACACTGTGTTTCCTCAGACAATCCACACCCAGCAGAGACATGAGAATGTTCACATTACTAGCCTGTATTAAATTAGGGTGGGGTGGGGCAGTTGGATCAAGTGCCCCAAGGAGGTATACACCCAAGGGTGACAGCAGCCAGAGGGACCCAGCAGAGTGGGGAGGAATTCTGGCTTCAGCTTTCCCCATTCTGTGACTTTAGGCACTTCCTCCTTTAGAAAACAAACCAAAGAATATCTAGTTGTGGGGTGTCTGTGTGGGTCCAATTAGGCCAGAATCTAGGACCATCTGTGTGCTCTTCCTTGAAGAGAAGGAGGTGGATTTGGGTGATTTGTGGCAGGGGTGAGAGGGGAAGGGTGCCTAGTAAATGCTTGCAGAATGAATGGGCAGCACATTCTGACCAGGGTAGACAGTCTTCTCCACCTGCCGATGTGGGTCACCGCCCGGTCAGGGCCACAGCACACACAGGCTGGAATCCTGCTGAAGCAGGGTAAGCTGACCTGGCTGGGATGTCAACGTTGCCAGGATGTGCCCACCCTCTGAAAACGGCAGTCTGTTATTTTGCAGCAATCAGAAGAATTATACTGTTTGAAGAATGTTTAGAATGTTTATACTCAAAGATAAGGAAACTAATAATAGCTAGCAATTCTTAACGCGCTTAACTGTGTACATGCCAGGTGTTGGCCCATTTACTGAACATGAGTCCCCATGGCAATCCTGTCAGGTTGGCTGATACTGTAATCATGCCCATTTTGCAGAAGAGGAAAGGGAGGTATTGAGAGGCGAGACAGCTTGCATTCTGTCACGAAGCTCCCGAATGGCAGAGATGGGATCTAAACAGAACAGTTGACACCAAAGCCCACTCCAAATACCAAGTTGCTTCCCATTTCTAGGATGTTTATCACTTCATCTTCCCTTCAGTTTTAGAGTCTGATTACCATGGACTGCTGGGCACCCACTGCCCACATGGACAAGAGATTTAGTGTCTGTTTCAGGAGGGCTCTCGGGTCGGCAGAAGCTCTAAGGGGCAGTTTCCCTGGCCAGCGCTCCTTGGGGAGAGGGAGCCGGTGTGTGCTTAAGGCTTGGTAGATTCTCTCAGCCTGTGGTTTGGGTTAGGAAAATATCCTCCCCCAAAACCTCCATATTTAGTCTCCAAGTGGAATGGACCAGGCAGAAACTACAAGCAGAAAGCTGGGACTATGGGGATTGAGAAAACAAGCCTTTGCTAATTTTAAATGTGAGACTCAGTCAGTCTAGACCAGATCTTCCTGTTGCTTTTTTCTTTTAATGACTACACTCCCCCATTTTTTTTCTGTCTCTTCTTCTTTACAACTTCTTTCTTCAACTGCTGAACCTATAAAATGGGATGTTTCCTATATGCTCAGGCAACAACCCTTAAAAAAATGGGGTTTTTCTGTTTGTTGGGTTCCTGTACAGGTAGGTGTGAAAGTCTCTGTGTGTGTGTGAGCTCACATGCACGTGTATGTGTGTGTGTGTGTGTGACACGATGGAGGTGGCAGACAGATAAAAAAGAAGACAAAGAAGATGGAGAGCCAGAAAGGACTGTCCCATTTATTTATTTAGAGATGGAGTCTTGCTCTGCTGGCCAGGCTGGAGTGCAGTGGTGCCATCTTGGCTCACTGCAACCTCCTTCTCCCAGGTTCAAATCTCCCAGATTCTCCTGCCTCAGCCTCCCAAGTAGCAGAGACTACAGGTGCACGCCACCACACCCAGCTAATTTTTGTATTTATAGTAGAGACAGGGTTTCTACTATAGAGACCATCATGTTGGCCAGGATGGTCTCAAACTCCTGACCTCAAGTGATCCACACGCCTTGTCCTCCCAAAGTGCTGGGATTACAGGTGTGAACCACCATGCCCAGGCTTTTTTTTTTTTTTCTTCTTTTTTTCATTTCAAGCTTCCCCACTCACCTTTACTAATTTCAGTGAGTAGGCCTCCTGTGGATAACTAACTTACCTGGCCCCCAGTGCACATGGCAGGCTCATTCTCTCCCAGTGCCTTTGCCCAAATCCCTCTCCAAAGGCTCTTGAAACCAAGGAAGTGTTTCATTATTAAAACGAGGAGGGTCTGTGTACCCAGCCAACACAATTGTGGCCATCTGGAAGCACCGCAGATGGCTCTCCCCACACCCAGATTCCCTAACAGGCATGCAGTACAAAGCGGCCAAGACATGGAAGGCCTCACCTATGCCAAGGCCTTCTCACCCAAACAATCACTTGTGTCCCTATCAGCACACAGTTTCAGTCTGGGCTTTGGCTGGGAAGTGACAAGAGTCTTATTTTTTAATCTCATTTGCCAATTAATTAGGATTATACCGGAAACCACTGAACAAAGGGAGAAGCACAAAATACACATCTGAAAACTTAAGATACCTTCAAGATACACTCTACCTGGTCTTTAATTCCCAGAACATCATTTTCTCCCGTAACAAAGAAAGGTGAAATCCCTCAAGTTCTCTGAGAAATATAGAAATATTATAATTCAGCAAGAGAATAACTTTTAAAAAATCAAAGAAACTGATGGCAGAACCTCAGCCCCCAACTGACCATGCTTTTAGAAGCATCTGTGTGGCCCACCTTGACTCTGAGGTGTGTGGGGGCTGAGAACAAGCCTGTCCACTAGGCCAGATCCTTGTTCTACCTATAAATGGTACACACCAGCTCGGCCAATCCTGGCTTCTCTGGGTCACACTTGAGTGGACATGGCCACAAGCTTACATGTTATTTGATCAAGTGCCACAAGCCTATTAGTAATGACTAATTGCTACTAATTACTAATTAGAATGACTAATTGACAGGCTCCTGGCTGTTAGCCACTCAAGACCATAAACAAACAAACACCCCACTATGTATTTCACACAAGCATTAGAAACAAGTGTTTAAGTTTGATTTATGTTTAAAAAAAAAAACTCACACAGTATGCAGGATGCAGACTCCATCCATCCTACTCCCCAGTAAAAGGGCTGTGTGAGAGACTGGTCTGCGGAAATTCCCAGAGAAGCTCCACATCTCTGTCCCAGGTTCTGGAGGGTCACATACCAAGGGGGTGTCCCTGGTGGGCTGTGTGCATCTCCATAACCAAGCCTTCCCCTGGTGACATGTCATTTCTCCCTCTCTCCTCTCTGACCACTAAGAAGGTCTGTTTGGGACTGTGATTTCTGTTTGTGCCAGGGTTACTCAGGGTGCCCCATACTCACTCCTAGGTGGGGAGGGAGCTGAAGGGTCGGGGGTAAAGGGGCGGAAAACCAGTGACCCCGGTAGGGAAGGGAAGGCCAAGAACCCAGCCATGGGCAGGTGGGAAGACGGCCAGACGGCGGCCACTGTCCCATCGTGAGTCTGTGTCTAGGTTTGCTCTCCCAGGTGGATCTCGGCGCACGAACCCTGCAACCACGGGACAAAGAGGCAAGAGAAAACGACCCGAGTTCGGGATTCCGGACCGTGGGACTCGAGGGGAACCAATGTCCTGCACTAACCGCAGAACCTTATTCAGATCATGGTCACTCCCACCCCTATGACCTAATAATGACAACGGTGAACCTGCTACGCAAAATAGAGCTTGTCGGCCCAGCCTCTGTAATCCGCACATTTCAGGCGCCCAGGGCACCTGGGAGGTCTAGTGTAATCCTTCCGTTTTGCAGCTGAAAAACTGAAGACCCTGGAAGGAAACTGCGTCACAAGTCCCCTAGAGGCAGCATTCCGTCTGGGGTCCCTGGGTCTCAAGCGCCTGCCCGCGCGCTTGCAAAGCAGGACCATAACCCAACCCGCACAGAAACTTGTGGACAGGAGCTCAACTCCTCCTTGAATTATGGGTAAAATACTCTGGGCAAGTATATGCTTCTGTGTGCCTCTGCTTCTCTGTGAAATGGATGTGATAATAACGGCGAGGCATCATAATTCAATACAATGTGATCAGCCACCCTGAATCCCCAAAGTTCCATCTGGCTCCTAAACTACTGGTTAACCTTGCAATAGTCACTGCATTTTGCAAGAATTTGGGGGAGTCCACTTAGAGCATTTAAGAGGGCGTGTGCACAGCGTTGTAGTGAGGGTTTAGGAGATTAAACTTCACAGCTCTGGGCACAAGGTTTGGCACAACCATTAAGTACAACAAATGGCCTATTGTTGTTGATCATCCTCATCCCAGCTTCTGTCGGGCCCCAGTTCCCAGCCCGCGCAGTACACCTGCCCGGCGCTCACAGCGGGGCGCTCACCTGGTCGGCGCCGGGAAGCCGCTGCGGGAGGACTCGGAAGAAGACGCAGAGCGGCAGAGCGGCGAGCGCCGAGTAGCCCCAGATGAACGCCAGCAGCACTGACCGCGCCAGCCGCCCAGGACCCCGCACGCCGCGCTGCAGGCGCACGATGCACACCATGCGCTCCAGGCTGACCGCGGCCAGCGTGAGGATGGTGACGCTGCCGCTCAAGGTCATCACGTAGAAGAGCAGGTGGCAGGCGACGGGGCCCAGCAGCCAGGCCTCGGTCCAGCGCACGGCCAGCACCAGCGGGATCGCGCTGATGAAGAGCAGGTCCGCGCAGAAGAGGTTGAGCATCAGGCAGGCGGTCGCGCCGCGGCGTCGCCGGCGCGCCACTAGCACCAGGGCACATACGTTGCCCAGCAGCGACACTGCAAAGATGAGCGCCAGCACGGTTGTCTCCACCGCGGTCAGCACCAGCCGGTGGTCTCCCTTGACGTCGGAGAAGAAGGGGAAGCGGGTGCGGTTGGCTCTCTCCAGGCTTCGCAGGGGCGCGTAGCCCGCAGCCCGCGCGCATTCAGAGTACATTCCCGGGTCCCGGCGGCCAGCAGCGGTCTGAGAGAGTGCTCATCTGGGAGGCGACTGAGTGCCAAGGCGGGGAAAGAGGGAGGGAGGCGGTTGCGACATCTCCCCTCCGGCCCCCTCCGGTCTGAGGAGCGCCGGCGCTGGGTACAGGGAGCTGCGCCCGGGGCGCGCGGGAACGAGGAAGTGCCGGGAAAGGCCGGCAGCAAACACCACAGCTGGGCTGGGAGGTGGCGGCCAAGGCGGAAGCCTCACGCCCTCTGGCCGTTTGAAAGCACACCCAGAAGCCTGAAAACCCACCTAGCGAATTCCTCGAGCCCCCGCAGGGCCTCCCCTACCTCCTTCATCCTTCAGGGGCACGGGATGTACCAAGCCTTTTGTGAACGGATTTAGCTAAAATAGATTTAAAAGTGTCAGAGCTGGCCTTTGGAGATTATTTTGGCCTGTGTCGTTCAGACTAAACTAAAGAAACTCCAAGGGTCTGGAGGTAGATCCTAAAGCAACTTTTAATGAGCCCGTATTTTTTGTGGGGGAAAGAGGGAGTGGAGATCTTTTATCACTACTTAATAACAGGTCTTCAGGTGGCTTGTTTACCCCCCCACCCCAGATTTTTCATCTATAAAATGGGAATACTAATACCCCGTTAGGTTATTGTGAGGCTCATGTAGAGTTTGCACACTTGGCACACAGCAATGTTACGCATTACATGTTATCAAGTGTTAGTTATTGTAACTAAAATGCAAATAAATTTTGCATTCTGAACAATGATATATAATGCTTTCTTGTAAAAAGGGCGAGTCTTTCCAAAGTTTTTAATAAACTTGCCATCCCAGGAAGACAGATATTTCAAGGCTGGCAGATACACACACGAGCTCTGAATGTGCCCCAGGTGCCACCGTCGAGGACCACTGGGCAGTCCAGTCCTGTTAGAGATAAGGAAACTGAGGCCCAGCAAGAGTGACATATCTAAGCTGTCCTCTGGTTAGTAATGAAAGCCAGTCACCTGCCCCTGTCCCACACATTTCCATTACACCATTGCAGTCTGGGTTTTCTGTAAATGAGGAAGCTGGAGATGGAAAAGTATGTCTGTGGCCTAAGATCCAGTGACCACTTCTCCTGCCAGCCCCCCTCCTACCACCTTCACCCCCTCTCCCCTCTGCCATATTATCAGGCCTCTCCCAGTTGCCCATTCTATCTTCTAATTGTCTTTCTTAAGGTTGGGTCTTAAGAAACCTAAGTATTGGCTGGGGACGGTGGCTCACGCCTGCAATCCCTGCACTTTGGAAGGCCAAGGTGGGTGGATCACCTGTCAGGAATTCCAGACCAGCCTGGCCAACATGGTGAAATGTCATCTCTACTAAAAATACAAAAATTAGCTGTGCGTGGTGGCAGGCACCTGTAATTCCAGCTACTTGGGAGGCTGAGACAGGAGAATTGCTTGCACCTGGCAAGCGAAGGTTGCAGTGAGCCAAGAGCACACCACTGTACTCCAGCCTGGGCAACAGAGCAAGACTCCATCTCAAAAAAAAAAAAAAAAAGAAGAAGAAGAAGAAGAAGAAGAAAGAAACCTGGTGCAACCAGTCTGAAATACTGTCTGGGGAGGGGGTCCTTTGTGTGTCTGCTTTTCACAGAATTGAACAGGTCTCAGCTGACGATGTGACTTCTAACCTGAGAAGTACATGCTCAATTTGAATGTTGACTAGGTTCAAGCTGAAAAACAAAACTGGTTTCTTCCTGAAACAGTTGAAAAAGGGCAAAAAATTGAAATAAAGGGAACTCAGACAAATGGGGTTTTGGCAGCTCTCTGGTTACCATCAGGGGATATTAGTTTTTATGTGAGGGAAAGGAAACTCTGTGTGTATGTGTGTGTATGTGTGTGTGTGGAGGGGTGGGTGTATGTGACAGAGAGAGAGAGACAAAGTAAGAGAGAAAAACACAGAGAGAGACACAGAGAGAGACTGATTCATCACAGGCTGATGTGATGATATAGGCACAAAGAAGTTTCCCAGAATTTACAACCAGGATGGGCTCTCTGCACAAAAAGGCCTTCTCCAACATTAACCCCCTGGGTTATACCAACGGCGAAATGCAGAGGCTCATAAATTTTCTTCATTCATGGCACCTTCATGGCACCCCTAGGCTAAAAGAAAACCCTAGCAGTTTCATTTATTAAGTAGCTGGGTCCAAACAACTTAGTAAGATTTTATGTCCTAACAACTTAGTAACTATCTTGGAAAATAATAATACATATAAATCGGGGTAAAATTTTTGTTGTTTCATTCTTTTTTTCTTTTTATTTTTGAGAGGGAGTCTCGCTCTGTTGCCCAGGCTGGAGCGCAGTGGCGCCATCTCAGTTCACTGCAACCTCCGCCTCCTGGGTTCAAGAGATTCTCCTGCCTCAGCTTCCTGAATAGCTGAGATTACAGGTGCCCACCACCACGCCCGGCTAATTTTTGTATTTTTGTACAGATGGGGTTTCACCATGTTGGTCAGGCTGGTCTCCAACTCCTGATTTCAAATGATCCACACACCTTAGCCTCCCAAAGTGCTGGAATTACACGCTTGAGCCACCACACCGGCCTGTTGTTTCGTTCTTAAATAACCACATTGATGCCAGGCACAATGACTTACCCTTGTAATCCCAGCACTTTGGGAGGCTGAGGCTGGAGGATTGCTTGAGCCTAGGAGTTCAAGACTAGCCTGGGCAACATAACCAGACCCCATCTCTACAACAATTTTTTTTCAAAAAAATTAGCTGGGCATGGTGGCTTGTACCTGTAGTCCCAGCCTCTTGGAAGGATTGCTTGAGCCTGAGAGGTTTGAGGTTGCAGTGAGCTATGGTCATGCCACTGTACTCCAATGGGGGCAACAGGGCGAGACGCTGTCTCAAAAAGAATTCTGTTAAAAACCCACAATGACAGCTTCCTAATGGGCTGGGTGCACTTGTACTCTTCACAGCTTCTCAAAACAAAATCATATTGAGCACTGCTACCCTCCTTCCCTGCTCCACGTGGATTTTCATGCAGCCCTGCTTTTTATCACAGCAACTCCTAAACACCCAGCTTTGTAAAGGTACAGTGTCATGAGTCTAACACTGGAACTGTGAATTACCTAGTAGAGCTAGTAGTTCACGAGGAGCCACATAAATGTTGAGTAATGCCATTTCCCTGGGGCACCTGAGCGCATGTGGGCACTAGCCTTTGGGGACCAGAACCCTAGTTGTACAACTCATTGTGTGCCCTTGGGTAAGTTACTGTAGCTTCCTAGAGTTTCAGTCTTCTCATATGTGAAAGGGGATAGTGATAGTACTGACCTCGTAGGGTTCTGGGAAGATGAAATGAAGTTCCTTTATGTAAAGTACTTAGCACAGTCATTGAATGGACACTGTGGGTCAGGCTCTGTGGTCAACACTGGATATGGATTATGGACACAACCCTGTTTGCTGACAGAACCAGTTTATTAAATAATAATGATAATTATTATTAATATTGGAGACAAGGTCTCACTCTGTCACCCAAGTTGGGGTACAGTGGCATGCACATAGCTCACTGCAGCCTTGAACTCCTGGGCCCAAGTGATCCTCCTGCCTCAGCCCCATGAGTAGCTGGGACTGCAGGGGCACACTATCATACCCAGATAACGATTTTTTATTTTTTGTGAGGTGCAGTCTCCCTAGATTGCCCAGGCAGGTCTTGAACTGTTGGTCTCAAGCAATCCTCCCACCTTGGCCTCCCAAAGTGCTGTGATTACAGGCGTGAGCTACCACGGCTTTCATACACAGGGCTCAGTGTGGCATGCTCAGGGTAGACAGACTTCACATGTTCCTTGGAGACTGGACAGCAGAGAACCGTAGGCTGATCCATTACTGTGAAAGTCATATTTATTGCTCATGCTCATTTGTTCTTTTACCTCTTCCACTCTCAGATAAAACCATAGAAACCGAGACAAGGATTCACCAAGTGTAAATACGGACAGTCTCATTTCTAAGCTAAACAGAAAGCCAACACTGCAGATGGCTTCTGTACCTCTTTATATTTCCAACCAAACAGGAGGGGAGATGTGCACAGGGGACTTTCTCTGTGTATGGTTTTCTTCTCTTTCTTTTCCTTCCTTCCTTTCTTCCTCTTTCTTTCTTTTCTTTCTTTCTTTCTTTCTTTCTTTCTTTCTTTCTTTCTTTCTTTCTTTCTTTCTTTCTTTCTTTCTCTCTCTCTCTCTTTCCTTCCTTCCTTCCTTCCTTTTTCTTTTCTTTCTTTCCTTTCTTTCCCTCCCTCCCTCCCTCCCTCCTTCCTCTCTTTCTTCCTCTCTTTCTTTCCTTTTTTTTTTTTTGAGACAGAGTCTCTCTCTATTGTCCACAAAGGAGTGTAGTGGTGTGACCTTGGCTCACTGCAACCTCCACCTCCTGGGTTCAAGTGATTCTCCTGCCTCAGCCTCCTGCATACCTGTGTTCAAGATCCATCTTTTTTAGTAGAGACAGGGTTTTACCATGTTGGCCAGGCTGGTCTCTAACTCCTGACCTCAAGTGATCCACTCACCTTAGCTTCCCAAACTGCTGAGATTGCAGGTGTAAGCTACCACACCCAGCTGGCTTTCCTATTTTTCCTCTGGAAAAATCATATGAAATTGGTATAAAAATGCTTACTGGCCCATCACTCTCTCTCCAAATCTCTGTGTGAGAGTCTGTCCATCTGCCTGCGTATCTGTGCATCTGTCTGTCTAGCTAAACCTATCAGTTCTGAGACATATGTTTTTGCAGGTTTGGAGTATCTCCTTGCAAAATTAGGATATATTATAGAGCAGAATGCAAAGATTTCAAGTCACTCTCCTGCCTCTGTTCCTCCCATCTTGTCAAGGTGAGACCCCGCCCCCCAACACACTCCTCCAGATTCCCAGACCCAACTGCCCTGAGCCGTCATAGCTGGGTAACCACCTCGGCCAGGCCAGAGTGGGGTGAAGGGGAAGGCCACCTTGCAAGGCTCCTTCTTCAAGGGGGCCCAAGAGCTCCCAGGTAGACAGGGCACAGGCATTCAGACCAAGGGAACAGCAATGCAAAGGTGAGAAGGCCCGAGAGAGCATTGCACACCTGGGAAGGGGCAAGTGTTCTGGCGTGGCCAGCCCTGTGATCTTCTCCACCATCCACACCTATTTGCCAAAGGAAAGGAGCCCAAGTAGAAGCTGGAAAATAAGAGCAAGACTCAAGTGATCAGCTGCCTGTGTGTAAGCTGTTCACACTAGGGGCCCCGGGCAGGGATCACACCATGTCTACTTTAAACAAGATATAGTGGCCGGGCCCCAGCTAGCACACTCAAAGCTTTGTGTTAAGTTAGAAAAAAGGGACTTCCTTGAACAGAT